CCCGTCTGTGGTATGTGAAAAAGATAGTGAGAAAGACATTGCCAATGTACATACATACAATAATTTGTTCTTATAGTAACATAAGGTAACAAAACCATCCTTCCTACAATCAACGTTATGCTCAACTATGATGTAATGCAGACTTGAACATCATGAATTAGTACCTGAAAAAACCCCAAGTTCCTTACAGGCGCTGTGTATCTGATTGAGTGTAATAGACCTCAGAGAAGGGTCATGTAAGGATGAGAGGTCTGCAATTGGAAGGGTGGTAGTGAGGTCAAGAGTAGGGTTTGGGCATTGTGAAGGAGGAAGGACATAACGTCAGGGCACCTGAGACACATCAAACTTGGTAAGTGACCTTGTGCTAGTAAATGATTTCAGGGGGTTGTCTCCCTTGCCTTCTGTTCTCAGCCTTTTTCCTTGGTTAACTTGTGCTGTTTGATCATAGTGGCCTATTTGCCTTTCCTACTTATAGTTGTTAAATTCTCAGTTAAGATTTCATGCAGATATATGAACTAAATATTGTTTGTTGTGCAGTTCCAATGTATTGGAAGAAAAAAAAAGGCATTGTGATCTCCGGTGGCTTTTCCTCATAAATGCTGGCTTCGTTTTGTATGATCTAAAAAGAGTTCAAATGCATGTCAAAGTCCAGATTAGAGGTTGGAACAGACTTCCTCCGCCAGCAGACCTGAATCAGTATGCCAAACATGGTTGATATACAGATTGCATGGGTGATTTTCATTGGCCATTACCGAACCTCCGGCATCATACACCACCAAGATGCCCCCTTTTTGAATAAAGAAGCAGTAGAAAACAAACCCAAGTGGTTTGAAATCTGACAAAAGCAAAAAACGCAATATTCTGACTTTATGATAATGTGGTGCGGTTAAAAAAAAGTATTGTGAAAAAAAGTATTATGAAACGAAATTCATTACCCAAATGATGACCTAGTTTAATAACTTGGCTTTCAAAAGGAGCTGTTTTAAAATTAGAATTGGAATTAATTCGATGAATAAGAATATTTGAATTATAATAATATATCACTCTACAAATATTGACTATATATTATCTGCTTCTAAATTAGAACTCCTAACCCCCCTTAATCTTGAATGATGATTAGGATGGATTCTAACTACAAAAATTTGGTAGATGATTGACTACTTTACAAATCCTTGAAACATTATTGATAATTATAGTGGTATCCCAAGTTTGAAATCATTTTTAATTTGTTATTATCTAATTTTTCCTCTTCGAACTTCAAATTGTCTAAATCAAAAGTAGAAACTTGGCTTGCATTATTTACTAATTTTGGGACAACCTTTTTGTCCAACTTTTCTATACAACCTGACGTGTTATTTATATGATCGGTTCCTTTTATTCATATGGGTATCGTGATATTAAATGCATCCACTCATTTAATGAAATATGGAAGTTGTATCAAAAGATAGTATAAAAAAGTTGTTCTTATAAT